GAGTCAGTGTGTCTATACAATATAAAGAGAACTAAAAGTTACAAAGAATCCTCAACAGAATCAAACTGTCATCTTGCTAATCGGAAGCGCAATTAGTGTAGTCACCTTCCCCTGCCAATCCGTAAGCTTATCAGTCATCTCCTTGACAACCACTGGCGAGTAAGTTGTCGCGGCAGCAGTCGATTTCCAGAATGTTAGCTCGCTCTTGACATAGCTCTCGAACAACGTTCGAGCAGATGAGACCTGGCTCTCGAGATTGGCGGGGACAATCTGCTTCCAAGCTGATGCAAAATCGTAGTTGACGCCTTTGCTGACAGCATATCGACCAAAGTCGCCCCAGAGGGTGGCCAGTGAAGCATATGTCTTTTGGTATGAGGTGATGACGCTTGATTCACTTCGATACGCGAAGGTGTCAATCACATCAGACAAGATGGCGATGCGACCTGTGGGGCTGTAGTTCTTCCACGTCGCCTGGCTCATGAAGTCGCTCCCAGCAACGATGAACTCTTTGTAGCGATTGAAATCGGCGTCGCAGACTTGGAGATTGACGATGTTTGCGTTATTGAGACCTGCGTCAGACGTTCGACCAAGAAGACCTGTGAAAGCGTCATTGATGTTGCCCGCCCAATCTTGGACAACTTTAAGAGTGGTGTATGTCTTCGAAGGCCAGGTATCCTGGAACAACTACAGAATTTATTGTTAGTTGAAAAATCAAAATTATTTCAAAAGCAACGGAAGGTTGACTTACGCCATTGAGGTCGAAAACTCCCGTAAAGGGAGCTTTACCGGCTGTGAGAGCAACCCCCTTCGGCGTATTACCATCCATCATCCACTCAACTGCGTCACGAAACTCTTGCTTCTCAAACACATGCTCCGTGACCCAGTTGGTATTCGGATCAAGGTTAGTCAGAGCTGTGATTCCAACAGCGGCGCAAACACCCTGCTTAGCCACTGTGAAAGCCTTCCCAGTAGTGCGAATGATGCTAGTCGCACCGGGGTAGTTCTGAGTGTAGATGCTGCTGCTCTGCTTGCCGGGTGCACACAATTTCATAGCAACGTCTCTGGCACCACGTTTCTCCAACGACCTCCCAAAGAGATACGATGTGTCGATGCCAGCGAGTGCCGGATGCTCTGGTTCCTCCGAGCTTGTGTCATTACTGTCGAATCCCTTCTGATGCGGTCGAGCAGCTCGAATCATGTGTCGCCTCTTATTAGTTGGCGGTAGTATGCAGTTATTGTCAAAGACATCTCCTTCCTTGAAAACATTCTTAGGGCTCGAACCGCCTTCTGGGACTGTGGACAAGTCCGGCAAGTTTGCTGGGCTGGGACAAAGACTGATCTCTGGTAGTTTGGGCTCGACTGGCGTATTCGGATTACCACAGCAGAAATAGGAGTATGTCCCAGAGCGACAGCCAAAGCCATCAGTTGCGACGGTCACTTCTCCGCTCTCACAGCCGGTCTTGCAGTCCGTTGAAAAATCGAAAAAAAGGTTGGCGAGGGGGCCGGACAGTATCTGCTTCCATTGAACCCAAGCAGTGTTTCCGGATCGCCTACAAGACAGTCAGTCAAAACTTCTGGTAGCGTTGAGTGGAATATTACTGGCCATTTGCATTCTTTCCAAGGGACAGGATCTTTGCAGCAATAGCTCTTGAAGCCTCCGTTGTAGGCACACGTCTGCTGACCTCCCTCTCCTTGCTTCCCAGTGGTCAACTCCTTCGGCTTGTCCTTGTTGGGACAGCCGTACGAAAGGAAGGAGAATGCTCCAGCAACAGGTGTTGTGCCGAGTCCAAGGATGGAACCGAAAGTCGCGCCAGCTGAGCAAAATGGAGCAGCACCGAGCCACTCGCAAGAGTCGAGAGTACTTGTCGAATCAGTCTTGGTGCAACACAAAGACTTATGTCCAGTCCAGCATCCGTCTGTGCTTGCAGCAATTTCGATCTCCTTGCCACTGCATCGGTTCTTCGCGAGCGCACCACAGAACTTGGGGCTTCCCTTCCACTTACAAGTTGGTGGGTTCTTTGGTGGACAGCAGAAGTTGCGCTTTCCCTGATTGCATCCTAACTCGATGCCAAGTGGACTGGCGTTGCTCCCTGAACTCTCGACCGGGACGAGACCAGATGGACACGATGCACCGCATTCGCCCCAGACACACTGGCTGGGGTCGCTACTGACTGCTTTGGCAAAGAGAGATTTCGACAAATCGGTTCGGCCCGAAGCTTTCGCTAGAGCCTTGATGGCAGTCCCCTTAGCGTCATCTGTTGATGCAGCCCACACCATGACTCCTCCAAGACACTTGCCGTTGGCGTAGTCCATCTTCAACTTGAGCGTCTCTTCATCGTCGTAAGAGACCCACTGATTACCGCCCCAAGTGACAATCTTGACGGCTGCTGTCTTGTCTGTTGTCACTTGAGCTCCGCCCTTGTCTATGATCTCTTGGATCTCAGAGAACATCAAGGTCCCAGCAGACGCGGAACATCTGCCTGGGACGCCACCGGCGCTGAAGCCACAACCGGAGGTCTTGCAACTTGGATTCGAGAGGGTGAAACTGCGTCCGTAGAACCCCATACCCATGACGACCTTCTTTGGGTCGACATCATTCCGCCATAGAAGCTCAAGGGCACGGTCGATTTCTGTCAAGTTTGTGTGGCTGTTGACGTACGGCCCCAGATAAGGGTTCGTGCCATCCCAAGTGCCGTGTAAGTCGTAGCTCATCATGTTGAACCAGTCCAGGTATGGCTGGATGTTCTTGAGATCGAAGTGCTGAAGGTACCAGTATGATGCTGGGAGCGTGATAGTGAGGCCCTTCGTTCCCAGTGCTGCACGCAGATTCTTGAGAAAAGTGACCAAGTTCTTGTAGTCTTCAGGTGTGCCAGAGCGTTCCTCGGCAACGGGATATTCCCAGTCGATGTCGACACCATCGAAGCCATATTTACTAGCGGAGATCTCTTGTTAGTCAAATCTCATTTATATAGAATGTTGATAAAATAGGGACTCACTCCATAAAAGACAGAAGAGATGAGAAGAAGACGTCTTGCTTCGCCCTGGATGCGGCCAGTTCAGAAAACGTGCGCTTGGTCGGCTGATCAGGGTCGTTCATACTCCAACCCCCAATGGCAATCTAATTTGCAAAAATGAGCAAAAAGTCCTTCTACACAGATGTGAAAATTAAAATCTCACCCAGACTTCCATCCCAGGGTTGTAGTTCTTCAGTGCTGTGAGTCGAGGCATGAACTTCGAGTCTGAGTCTTGCATATTCGCAATCTTATACGAGGTCGGGTCAATGAAGGCGAACGCGTAGTTGAGATGAGTGTAAGCAGTGTAGAGTAAGTCCTCAGGATTCACTGGAGAAATTTTAGTAAATTGTCTCCTATTTATCTTGGAATAATTCCTTGAAAAGGCAATTACAGGATTGCTGTAAGAGGTAATTACCGTAAAGGGCAATTCGTCTTGGAAGCGAATTGCTCTTAAGGGCAATCCATTTGGGAAAAAACTTGCTTCAAATGATGATTGCCCTAAATGGTAACTTGAACTTACATCCATTGCAGGCCTTTGTTGTTGACCACCCTTCATAGTAGCCGATCACTCGCTTGCCTGCAGAAGAGCCACCGGGGCAACTTGGCGCCTTGACCTTCTTGTCGCCGCAGAACTCCTTGGTAGTTCCGCAAAAGCCAAACTTGGAGCAGCATACGTCGAGGGGACACTTCGCTCTCTGGCTCCAGGCGGATCCCCAGCCTGGGTCACATTCGCTCTTGGCACCGCAACTGGAAGTGCAGTTCGCGGGTGCGCAATAGCTAGGCCCAAGGCCACAGACCTAGTTCTCTCATCAGCAATTGGAACTTTCTCTGAATTTTGGATTCTGCGAACTCAAAGTCACTCACATTGTTCTTACCGCAGCAGCCAAGTTTGCACGGCCTGGTGGGGGAACAGCTGTAGTCCTGCTGAGCTATCGCTCCCGACGCGGCGAATAGGAGACAGAACAGCAGCACAGCGGGCTTGAGGAGCTTCATTTTTGCAATTGCGTACATGAACTTTCAGTGCAAGTAAGTTCGACTTGAAGTGCCTTCTGTTCCCGAGATAAACTCATTCTTTTGTTTCTTCGTGGAATCCCTGGAAAAGGAGACAACCCCGGCTGGCCCGGATTTCCAGGGGGCCTGGGGTTTGATGACATGGTGACTAGAGACAAGTCGTATCACATTCGACCTGTGTAGAACTTTGTGGAAGTGACGATCGACTTAGACCTCAATCAACCGGCAACCTCCCTTCTTGCAAATAATTTGGGGTCGTCAAGCAAGACATAGGTGACTGTTGGTATCGTGGCAAGCGTAAATCGTTCTGATCGTACTCTGTCCTTCTAACAGCTTTTGACTGTGTCTCAACTAGTATGTTGCAATTTGAAAATGACTTTGCCATCGGCAAAAAAATCATCTGATGTCCAAGTTTACAACGCTGGTTTGGCGCCACAGGTGTGATGGAGCAAGGGGACACCTCGGCTAAGGTGCTTCATGATGTCGTGTTTCTATCGCCCTGCGTATCCGTCTACTACCTCATTACACATCATATGCGCCATTTAGTAACAGTAAGACAGTTCTTGCCAGTCGATCAACTACACAGGATGGTATTCTATGTGCAGCGTGTTGACTTAGGTGAGGTGGTAAGCTTATGCATGTCAGATTGACTCAAATGATTGTACCTCGGGAAGCAGAGACAGACTTGAGACAACGATCAGCGTTTGACTCTTCCTACAGCTGCTTGGCAATATTTCAGCTGATGTCTTACTAAAAAGAAGCTTTCAATATGACAATTCCAAACCAAGAGTCCAGGTTCTATGGTTGTGGATATGCGAGGTCGGATTCCCGAAGTAATCCTCCAAATTACTAGGTATTCCATACTTACATAGAACGAGCTCTCCTGGTTCCGTCCACCTTGAGGTTTTCTGTTAGGAACACAGCTCGAAAAAAGAACCATTTTACTCACCAAAACTGAAAGTAGTTGAACTCATTATGAAGTCGATCGTGGCTTTGAGCCTAACTATGTCTTTATGGCCTATGGCCATATTTGCTGACCCAAGTGTGAGTTCTCCTGGACTGCTCTGGAGATATCCGGGAGCAGCATATCAGATACAAACTTTCAATTGATCTCTTTAGTTCTTCTTCTTCACAAACCAATCTGGCACAGTCTTCGATGGCATCTCGTCCGGATGCAACTTGGCACTATCAGCCCCTGTTCCGGAATGCCCCCGAGAACTCTTGAACCTCCTCGGAGGTGGTAGCTACCACACGGTACTCAATGAGACTGTCATGGGCGTTCTTTGCAGATCTGAGTGTTCTCCAGCATTGGCCACTTACAGGAGCAACGTCGTTTCTCAGTGCGCCAAAGATCCTCAACCTAGGAGTGGCTATCCGCCGACCTACTGGGTTGATTCTGTCACTGCTGTCAGAACGCAGATGTGTCTGAAAGACTCTAAGACCGGAGAGTACTGCACTCGTGAGTACTTAGAGATCTCTTGTTAAACACCCCGTGTCCGTGATCTGACTTCGCACGAAGAATACCTCGAGCGAGTACTCGGCGATGCCGCAAGCCCAGCGGACCTGCTCGGCGGGTACTCCACTGCTCAACTCTGCTCCGAGTGTCTGGTCAACCTATTCCGCCATCAACAATCGACCCCGTACTCAAACTATGACCCCGAAATGGCTCAAGCGTGGGCCGCCATTCAGTCAAAGTGCAGTCTCAGTCTTCCAACAGCAACTCAAACGTTGAAGACAAATGTCACGTCGCTTGGCAACTATGCTCCGCCTGGTTATGCCACTGCAGTCTGCGTTGCAGGCCGCACGTACACGGTGGCTGCTGGTGACAACTGCATAGATATCTCAAAGAAGAGCGCCGTTTCGACGGGCTCGTTGATTACGCTAAACAGCCTGCGGATGGACTGCACGAACATCTTTGCCGGTCAAGTGAGTTCTTGAGCTCTCGTTGCGAAGGACCATTGCTAGGACTCGGTTTGGCTGAAATTGAGCATTTATAGATTCTCTGCCTTCCACCTACTTGTACTAGCTATGTGGTCCAAGGCGGCGACAACTGTTTGAAGGTCGCCTCGCAGTTCAACACTACCTACCAGCAAGTAATCGCTTGGAATCCAAGTAAGCCTTTTCTTTTGGAAATAGTGGCTGGATTCGAATGTCAGTTTCTAACCGCCAAATCAGCCGTCGATAGCTACTGCACCAACTTGATCGCAGGCCAAAATATCTGCGTTGGGCCTCCTGGTGGTGTTCTCAACTTCACGACGATCCCAGGTGCGACCGTAACTAAGACTGCGATCTACGCAACCGCTACGGCTGATAGACCAGCGCCTGTCGCGAGCGGAACCACGACCAAGTGCGGCAAGTACTACAAGGTCCAACTGGTATGCCCCTCTGAACTGTGCAGGTGCAAGGCCACATGGACTCAGACAAAGCTGGTCCTTGAGGCCCAAGTATCAACCAACACTAACTGTCAACTCTTGCATTGATATAGGGCGACTACTGTGAGCTTGTGGCTTTGAACCAGACAGTTTCGCTGGATCTATTCCGCGCGATAAATCCCCAGGTGAGTTGAAAAATAACTTACACGCCCAAAGGCCGGATTTGAACTAACGGCGTGGCCCAGATCAACAGTGGGTGCACTAATTTACAGGCCAATGTGTTCTATTGCGTACTGCCCACCCAAGACTGGAACACCACAGCGACTTCAACAACCGTGCCGGCTCCAACAACCACACCTCCCGGAACCACGGACAAGTGCTATCAGTGAGTCTTTGGGTTTTTGCTGCAAAATGGCAACTATTCCAGCTCTTCGAAGCTCACTGTTTACTTTTTTCTCTAGGTGGTATGTGATCCAGTCCGGAGACTATTGCGCCAAAGTCCAGGACAAATTTGCGATTTCTTTCGAACAATTTCGTGCATGGAACCCTGTAAGCCTAGGATGCACTGGAAACCACTGTTAAGTTGCTAACAAGGAGTCCTTAGGCAATCGCAAATGACTGCTCCAATCTGCAGCTGGGGGTGGCCTACTGTGTCCAGGGTGCTGCTTCGCTCACAGCACGAGCGACGACAAATGCCGGCAGCCAGTCCGACCCTGACCAGGTCGCTCATTATCGGAGGAATGGAGTCGGACCCATTGAGACGGGAGTGCCTGAATCTGAGGCGGGAGGCGTTGCTATCGGATGACCTGGTGTGGACTCTCCAAGGTTGAGAAGGGCAATGGGATTGTCAGAGAAAACGGAGTTGTAGAGGAATTATTATTTGCTGGTCCAGGCGCCATCCCTTACATCTCGCACATCCGGATCGTGCGCTTCCCAAGGATTAGATCCTGATTAAAATCTACGGCGCTTTCGCATTCTTTCCGGAGACGGTGCCGTAGACCACCAAACCTTTTCCAAATCCTCGCTTCCAGAGGTGCCGGTCTCGGTATCCGCTAGACCTTCTAAGCCCCGGACACTTCGCGTGATCCTTCTCAAAGGCATGATATCCGAGTCAAGGAGCCACCAAAACTCTTCAACAATCGTCTCTGCGGCAACCTTGAAGATTGGCTTAAACCACTCCCTCTCTTCATGACCCTCCTCCAACCCGGGGTCCGTGTCTGCAGCGACCGCGAGAAAGAATGGTGCCGATGTCCGCCACCACTTGGACTTAGTCGTCGGTTGGTCGCCTTCGCCCAAATCCAGCACAGATGCTATCACAGCTGAAGTGGCAACAAGGAATACCTGCTCCGAAAACCCGGCTGGAAGTTCGGATTTCATGTTGCCAAACTTGTCGCGCAGGTCATCGGCAGTGGCACCGGCCAAGGCCGGATCCTCCACCCACCGTATCTCGAATTTTGACTCCGCATCCTTGAAGTACTCATGCACATCGGCTCCGTCTGCGTCCCTCTGGAAGGGAATCTCAACGATTCTCCGGACCTGCTTGGCGAAGGTCTCCCATCGTTCCTGGTCATCATAGCAGGCTGTTCGGAAGGCCACCATTCCCCACGTCTGACCTTCGTGGCGCTGCTGCCAATGCTTCAGCCAGTTCGGGGGCATGTGCTCGACCTCCGACTTCTTTGCAGTCTCAGCAGTCGACTCGTCGCCAGTTCTTTCTGCATCGCGTTGCTGCTCCTCGAAGACATGCATCGCCAGCTGCCCTACACCTTCCTCTCCTAGGACATCCCGTAATCCGGCCTGCATCTTCAGCAGTTCATCCACGGGAAGAGAGGTCACGTCGTCCGCGGTTGCATGTCGATAGCGATTGTAGTTCCAGCCTGGTGGCCAGTAGGAACTTGATGCATCCGAGTAGACAGGTTGGGTGGTAGGAGTGGCAACCTGGGGTGTATCTGGCTCTTGGGCGTCTTCGGCGAAGCTGGGACGCGGCATCTTGTTTATCGATTGATTCTCTCAAGAGAGTCTGCCACTGATCAATACATGGAAGTGTAGGTGTTGGAATTTGTATGTTAAACGTCAATGAAAAGCTGGCGAACAATTTGAATCGAACTGATGTCAGGAGCAGGAAGGAACCCCTCCGATGACATACACCTTCCCTTACTTACACCACCTCCTTACATAAGAGCGGTACGTACTCCCAGACATCAATCAACCCCTGATTGACTGAGTCTCACACTCACTCTCACTTCCACTCCCACTTCTCACTCAAACATCACACACGTCTGCGTCAACTTCATGCAGTCTCACTCTGCACGTCGTCATTTAATATCACGCTGCCGGTCTCAACTGGGTCTAGCCCTTACGGTGATGAGACACATCCGATGATCGGCTGATGAACAAATCTTTCCAGTAACAACGTAAATGATGATACAAACCCATTTAGGGACATACTGAGGTGGCCAGCCGTGCACTGGAATAAGTCTGAGTGTGATCATTGTTTGGTGCTCAAATTGATTCAACAAAGGAGATATATAAAATTAGATCTAGACACATTCTAAGGGTATTGTTCGTAATGGATCATGCTTGGACACATCATAGAAAGACAAAACCATAATACGTAAAACTTTTATCACAAATTCCCACCGGCAGGCTTCATGTATGGAGACTTCTACTCCTCGTCACTCTCGGAGCTGGAATCGTCGTCGTCCTCATCGTCATCATCTGTGAGATATCAGCCAATGTCATCCTACATTCAAAGACGTGGATACGGGCTTACCGTCAGCCGGGGTCTTGTTCTCGGCAACACCGTTGGCTCTAACGCGAACCTGCTTGTAGTGAAGGGGATCGCTCTTCAGATCCTCACCCTCAACAGCAGCGCCGCCATCCTGCACGTACTCCTTCAAGTCGGCGAAAAGCTCCTCGCCGAACGCACCAGACTTCTTGGCTCTGGTAATCAACTGGCCGACAACGCTGGACGCCATCTTGGCAGGCGTGTTGAGGATCTTCTCAATCACCTCACGGTGACCGAAGCCACACTTGGCGTGAGGGTCGTCGACGGGCGCGCCCTCGGCCGAGCTGTCTCTGAAGCGCAGACCGGGAGTCTGGTAGCGACGGATACGAACTTCGCCGTAGGCCCTTGCGAGATCGACGGCGCTGACCTTGATCTTGGCGGGCTCGGGAGGGGGCCACAGCTTCGACTTGGTCAAGCCCATGATGGCGGATCCGAGGAGGAGCTGCTCGCAGTCTTCCGCGGTGCCATCCTCGGTGCCGGCGTGGCAGTAGCGAATCTCCTCGCCGGGGTAGCAGGAGGGATTCAGGAGGCGGTGGACAGGGTTGCTGACAGCCTTGATGATTTTGTCAATGGCCTCGGCGCGGGTGGCGGTAAGCATGCGGATGACCTCGTCCGAGATGGGCTGGTCCTTCCAAGGGCGGCCCTTGGAGTCCTGGAGGGCTCCGTCAGGTCCGACGCGGGACTTGTAAGCTGCCTTGGCCAGCACGCGACTGAACCAGCGGGCCTCGCCAAAGACCCAGCTGAGGACGAGAGTCTTGTCCTCGTCGTTGCGGGCGCCGGCCATGAGAACGTGGCGGTTCAGGGCGATGACCCAGTCGTTCATGAAGGGGACGAGCAGGTGCGTGGCGGCGTACTTGTCGGAAGCGAGGGCCAGGTCGTACAGGTCGCCGACGTTGGGCATGGTGGGGAGCTCGTGGAACTTGAAGTGAGCAATGGAGAAAAGCACATCAAGACCACTGGCTGTGTCGGCGGGAGACTGGAGCTCGATAACGCTGGAGGTGTTATTGGCGAGCAGCTCCTTCCAGACGCGGGAGGCAGATGCGAGAGCGGCGGAGCGGACGGAGTATACGATGAGGGAGCCATTTGAGTCGCGGACCTTGATGTGGAGGTCGGAGTCCTCGTGGTAGGAGATTCTCTTGTCGGCTTCGGGGGTAGCCGGGCGAGGAGGGAGGATGGCGACGCGAGTTGCGAGCTGGGCACCCTGCGGCTCCTCTGCCTCGGCCTCATTCTTCTCCTCGTCTTCCTCTTCATCCTCAGAAGAGGAGTCATCAGCGTCGTCCTCGGCGGTCTTAGCAGTCTCGGTTACGGAAACGGCCTTGGGCTTCGCGGACTCGGCTTCGGCGGGGGCTGAGGGGGTGTTTTCCTCTTTCTCTTCGGGGACGGTCGTGGGCTTGACCTTCTCGTCAGGGATAGAGGGAACGGCGGGGACGGCGGGCTCCTTGGTGCCGAGGAAGGACTTTTCCCGGCCGGGCATAGCGGTCATGGGTCTCTTCACCTCATCACCATTGTTTGATTGGACCAGAGAGGGGATACTCTGAGAGGAGTCGGAACGCTTCATGAAGTATCCATCCTTGACGGGGCCGAAAGTCGGAGTGGGGGGGCTGGAGGTGGCATTTTCGTTGGTAGTCTTTGTGGTAGGGGCTCTATTCCCTTGTTAGTATAAAGTTTCATCCAACGTTGATATAAGTCAATAACTTGTGCCGGTACAGATTCCTCGAGAAGGAGCTGATACAATACTGGAGTGGCATGGGAAGCGAGGGCATAGCAGAAAAAGACCAAGGAACGCTACCGAAGGGAGGATATTCGTAAAGGCACAGACGGCGGCCGCGGCGGCAACACTCTTTTAGGATGCCTCACGATTGTGCTGGCAGACCGGCGCCCTCCTTGAGGGTCTTCCGTCATTGCATCTTGATCCTGCCAGTGACGATGCTGGGCAAAGGAGTCATCAGGCGCGTCACCCTCGGGTGGTGTTGGCGGACTACGAACACCCGTGTAAGAGAGGGAAGCTGATTGGAGGCGAGTTGGGTTTGGTTGGGTGTCGACGTTGTTGTTTGGAGCCGCGACAGACACGTCAAACATGCAAGGCGACGAACTCGTCGAGCTTGAGTCGATGGACCGTTGAACAACTGGAGGGGCATGCATCTTTGGTGGAGATATTCAAAGCCGCGGCGCCCGCTGTTGCAGCCGGTCCGGTCGAAGCGGGACCCCTTTCAGGGTCCAGCATAAAGGCAGGGGTCGAGGCTAGCGATGCTTGCAGGGGGGTGGGCAGAGGATAGAGAGAAAGAAGAGCGGTGAAGCTGGATATCGTGGCCGGGACAACTGAAAGAAGAGAGAAAACAACTTTGAAGTAAACAAAACAAAACGTACCTCTTGAAGCGGTTGTTGAGGAAGAGAAAACCACTTCCAGACTTGCGACGTTCGGGGTCTTGACCAGAGGGGGTTCTCCGGTGAGACTCAAAAAGTGCGGGAGACATTGTGAGGGGGTATCAACGGCCGTAATTTCGGAAAACAGGAAACAAAAAAAGAAGACGGGAAAACCAAAAGCGAAATTCGTCACGCCAAATGAAAAGCAACTGCTAGACGGAGAAGCAGTTATGCAAAGGTCTCAGATGTCGTGAGTTGTGACCAAACAGAGATGAGGAAACAAGAAAGAAGAAAAGCAAATGTGAACACTGGACTTGATGCTCATATATATGTGCTCGTCGGTTCATCAGCCCGAGATAACCATGTTCGCAGTTCTCAAGCTCAGTATTCGTATGGTATCCACCAAGAGAGTCGGTATGGCAAATCAAAGCAATCAATAATGGCCGTCCACCGTCCGTGAACCTCTCGATGGATAACATTCTGGAGTCGCCGAGGGGTGGTGCGGCCCACCGAAGTGGCTGGCCAACTAAACCTGAACCAAGATTAAACGAAATGGAAGGTCGAAAAAAAAACATTGGGCACCGAAGAAAAAGCTCGCGAGTCGCATAAACAATCACCGCCCTCTATGCGTGCCGCCCTCTTTCTTCACCGCTGGCATCGCGTCGTCGCCTCGCCGGACGACCGCGTCCAGGGCTCCTGGGAAAGATTGGAAGATTTTCTCACGAACCCTTGCTGGATATGGCATTCTTCTCCCCCCGGGAGCTCGGGACACCTGCAGAATTCTTTTCGAGATCCACCCCAGTGACATTTTAGCGCAGTTCGCGTTGGATATCCTTGGACATCCTTGGATATCTCATCCATCAGCAGGGGGGATGCAGTCACATTTGGCGATCGCCTCCACCGCCCTTTGCATGAAGCACCCTTGGCTGCATGAAACATTGACGGCGGCCGTTTCTACCGCTCTTTGCTTGTGAGGATGATGTTGAAAATCTGGGAAGAAGGGGGACATTCACCAACGTCGGGTGAGGCTGTCGAAGTTTTGAGGCGAATAAGGCGACTCGAGGACTGCTGACATATTGGTGGATGAGAACGCATGTAGCCATGAGATGTGATGGCCTATGAGTTGTGCATGCACGAGAGTTGTGCACCTTTGACTCGGTAGGTAGTCATTGGGGGGGAAACAGTTTCTGATATCTCTCATTGCAAGCCAAAGCACGGAGGCTCTGCAAGAGAGGGTCGGGAAGAAGACTAAACCCAGCCTGCTGCAGTCACTGGTTGAAAGAATGATTGGACAGATCGGAGTGTGCATCTAGATTCGGCGGGAGATGCAGGATGCGCGTTGAATCGTCAGACGGTTTCTCGGCTTCTCATGACCCTGCAGTTTTTTAGTTCACTTTAGGCACAAATGCTTCATAACAAAAGCACGGTCCATCATGCTTTATACAATTTGAATATTGGGAATAATTTGTTATGAACATATCGCCATCCTCTCCTGACCCGAAACTCCAATTAATGCCCAAAGGTTTAATAGAAAGAAGCAGCTTCAAGCTTTTGCAAACCCCATGCCACTTACTGCCCAACGATGACGCCAGGAGAAAGCTCCAGTCCTACGGGCAGTCCCTTGATAAACTTCTGGGTAAAGGGAGCCCCCGACCGTTGAGCAATGACCTCCTCGATGTCCTTGTACATGTCGTATCTGTCATGTCATTAGTCACGATGAGGAAAATGTCGTTGGAAGCTGTGAAACTTACCCGTTCATCTCCTCAATGGTGAGCTTAGCTCTCTCATCCGCAACCTTGTATGTGCTGGTGCTGGTGTTGTTTGAGAAACCTGAGTGAGAATTAGCTTCGTGTGTTTCTTCAAAAAGGTTATTTTGGTTTATCGGGCTTACCAATACGCTCGTTGATGTTGTACGCGGCCTTGGCAGCTGCAGACTGCACGCGCGTGGCGCGGGGCAGGCGAACGGTGTTGTAAACTTCCAAGGTATCCTTAACATCTCCGTTGAAGTACTTGGGGTGGAAGAGAATTCCAAGAGCAGCGGCATCTTCGATGGCCATGCATGCACCCTGACTTTGGTGAGGCATCATCTGAAAGGCTTCGGTTAGAATTGGCTTCGCATCGAATGGATAGTTTGTCGACTTACAGGATGTCCCGCATCACCCAACAGACAAACCATGTCCTTATTGACGTAAGGGTAAGGGTCACTGCATTCAAGTCAGAATCATAAACAGAGAGTAAATGATTGGATAACTTACTGCATCCACAGACGCCAGGGCTGGATATCCTTGCCGATAGCGAGATGCGCAAGGACCTGCTTGTCAAGTTCAGGGTACGGCGCCAGCAACTCCTCGACGGGGCGGTCCTCGACACCCCAAGCCTGGTTAACGTAGTCGCCCTTCTCTCTAGGGAAGAAGCAGTAGTATGACAGCAGCTTTCCGCCATTGCAGGGCGAGAGGACGATCTTGTCCCACTTGCCCTCCTGGCCACCCCAGTACTCGAGCGCGGCGTCTTGCGAGTAGTCGACGAGGCCGGCCTTGACGGCGTCCTCGGTGAGAACGTTGGCGTGCAGACAGCTCGAGTCGGCCGGGCGCTTCTCCGGCTTGACGCCGATTAGGCCACGCACCACGCTGCCGATTCCGTCCGCGCCGACGATGAGGTCGTGTGTGGCGGTCAGGCCGGTGTCGAACTCCACCTTTCCGCTGGCCAGGTCAATGTTCTTGCACTATCATGGGGAAATTGATTAGCTACTGGCAGAATGTTGAGGGTGGAAGGAAGTGTCTCACCTTCTGGTTGACCAATAGCTTGGCCGGAATTCCCTCGCCCTCCTCCTGCATCGCCGTGTCCTTGAGCATGGCGTGCATGTACTGACGGTGGAACATGTTGTAGACGTAACCCCAGCGCTTCTCGTAGTCGTCGAGGCTGTACACGCTGACGGGTTCGCCCGTCTTCCAGTCTCTGTTGATGAGGCTCTTCAGAACGACGGGGTCGCCTTTCTCGACGTCCACACCCCACTCATGCAGCCAGCGGGTGCCGTTGGCGGCACATGAGACGGAGGCGCCGACCTCACCGGCGAAATCGTTGCGCTCATAGATGGTAACCTTGTGTCCGGCCCGGCGTAGCGCGATGGCGACGCTCATGCCGCCGATGCCTCCGCCGACGACACCGACATCAAGTTGCCTCCAACCAGCTGGAATAGATCCCATTTTGTATGTTTGATGATGACTGAGCTTGTCAAAGAGGGTATCGCAAAGTTGTTCAGAATGAAGAAGTAGAAGAGTGCTCAGTCCGATGGAGTGTGAATGAGTGCTCAGTCCGATGGAGTGTGAATGATGAAACAAAGAGACAGACAATGATGAGGTTGCCGCGATATGTATACTCATGGACCGTCATCATTGTCGGGGCGGTACCTGTCAAATGAAGCATCACCACACCCTCCTGTCCCATCTCTACCCCATCCCGTCCCGTGCGTGCGGCTTTCCGCGGTGTCGTCGATAACAACCATCAGCTTTCTGAGACCATCTCGTCTGAGCTGCGGCTACGGGATTAGGTGCAATAACCGCCGCCAACAGTATCCCCAATAACCTATTGAAGATCCCCGAACTGGATACCCTCAATGGATGTTCCATGTAAGTCGACCAATAATGAATGTACTGTTTATCACCTAGTCCCAGCGGGCCGGGTCTCGGCTGACATCCGAGATCCTATCTGTAAGAAGTGCGCGGCCCGCCCACCACTTGGTGCAATTACCGCAATCTTTGTGCGCTGTCTGCTTCCGACCATCCGCATCACAGTGCATCCGAACAGTGTCGATGTGTCGATCCAGGGCAGTTGCTTGACTTCGTAGCTAATTATCGCACGGCTTTTTGGTCATCCGACTAGCCAAAGCCGCCGGAAAGCGAGTGGTGTTGGGAATGTTTCGACCCCAGACTTTGCAGCCAATGAAAAAAATGAACAGGCAATGCCTGGCGATACAACATTCACTTTGGCCAACCAGCGTACGCGACGGAGACTCTTCTGGGCAATGTTGCACGCAAGAAGGGAATCGCGCTTAGTTTGGACTAACGTTTAGGAAGTTCCGAAGCTACTAAACCGTCGTACCTAGCCTTAACTCAGTATTACCTTTGTTTGTGGTTGATTATCCGACGTGACATTACCCGCCCGTCATGAGCTCTATAATCCACTGCTACTAGGTTCGTTTTGAAACCAAAAAGGCTCTAACAATGGAACCCTAGAAAGTCATTTCATCATCTTCGGTGAAACAACTCAACTAGGCTCTGTTGGCCACTCCATCGGCTCTTTCTCTTTTCGGAAAACGAACTTTCTATCCAGCAATCCCTCGGTTTTTGAGCTGTCAGCTTCAAGATGTTCAAATCAGTTTCTCGACAAATTTTTAGCAACCAATGTATAAAATGCACCAGTACTTTTTCCACACCTAGTGTTCGGCATGACGAAACCTGCCATTGCAACTGTAAAGTAAGTAGGTAAATCATCTTTCGCGAAACCCAACCTTTCAGCGTGATGTATGGTAGTCGCCATAGCTTAGAGATACCCTGCTCACTTCACGTCAATAAGATAAGTATGTTTCATTGTTCAGACCGGAAGTCCAGCCATTCTCCATCATCAAATACTTACACCAGTAGGCTTATAGATGAAGAAGAATGGATTATGGAGAACAACCGTATACCCCTTACTACCGTACCTTCATCTAAATGAACGAAATTGACAATACCGCAAAGCCTCAAAGCCCAGGATTCGTTACCAACGAGGGTCGAATCAAGATGTACACAAGAAGTAAGTATGCTGCCGGGTACCACGAACCTCCATCATGGTTGGCGTGTAGGTAACTGAGACGCAATGGTGAAGTTAAGTACTTCATCATATTTGTTTGCAAAATCAACAGACACTGAAATTGCCCATGAGGCTGTTGATTCGAGAGTGAGAGAGAGCGACGTCCAAGATGTAAACTTTTGTCATAATTGATTTGCTATCCAGGCCATGATTCTCCATCAAACGCCTCTGACGTGACCTTCAATTCATGAGTATCCCAATTTCAACCACCAACGCCATTACAATGCTCCATCTTCGTGCAACCTTTTGTCGAGCACTCTTA